AAAAAAAAAAAACAATTGGGAGGGGGGGTGTCAAAAAATTAAAACATCCTTAATTCTGCATGAACTGTACATGTATGTGCAATGAACGCATGGTTTTCATCCAATCTAAGCAAGTATAACAAGCCAATCGTATGGCAGTTTGTGATTCATGTGAAAAAATGACGGTAACTTTTGCAAATGATTTTTTAGGGAAAATCGGAGGTCAAATTCGGATTCAGCGCATCAAAATCATGAGGAAAACATATCTTAAATGTATTTATACTCAAACGGAGAGCCGCTAAGATTTTTGATCACTGAAAAGTGAATTGGGACCATAGTGCGCCGCTCCAAACATCAAATACCCCGCGGGGGACACCTAGTTTGGGACTTTTAATATACGTCCGAATTTCGTTTACTTTTTCTCGCTCTTTAGCAGCATCACGTTCGCCGAATTTTTTTCTCCTTTAACGTTGCTCGCCTCAAAATGTCAATTTTCAACGCTGGAAAAATAGAGGAGCGGTTCCGTGCCTCCTCCGCTGAAAAAAAAATCTCGGTGTATTTACTAAGAAAAGGGTAAAATTACCAAGAATTCAAGATTCTATTTGATCCCAGTTTTTTCTTGGTAAAATTACCATTTATGGAATTGGTAATTTCACCGAGAAATCACGGTAAAATCATTGAACTTTCTCGGTAATTTTACTGGACCTCGGTAAAACCGCCAATATTTTTTATCAACTGTAGTAGAATTACCGAGATAAAATTGCAAAGTTACCGGGAATCGATTACCAATAAAAGTGGTATTCTTGCCTGAAAAAAACATTAAAAATACCGGTTTTTATGTAAGCTTACCAGTCTGTCTTTGTAAAATTACCAATAATTTGTAAAAAAAGTGAGATGGTAAAGGTGGACCAACGGACCGTGGTAAAAACGCCGAGAATTTTTTTTCAGTGTAAAGAGTTGCAATAAAAAGTCCGCGCTGAAAGAATGAGCGAAATTATTTTGTTTTTAAAACCGGATTCAGCTGGTTCGTGATCGTGGTACTGGCAAGCACCGAACGGGCATTTTAACCATCGAGGAGGCCACACCGCGTCGTGGAATCTAAATTTTTTGCACTCTCGGTCTCTGGTGGAGGTGATTTTTTCATTTTATTTTTCCGAATCATGAGTTTGCACTTGCAATTGCGTGTCACGAACTCCGACGGTCGGGAACCTCGCATCGCGTCGTGTCAACGTGAGGGGAAAATTCCCAGACGAAAA